TGTGCCAGAGTGCTGCCCTGGGTGAGTGGTGGGGGTGAGGGGTGGAGGGTGGGACCTGGCGTGGCACCCAGTAGAGGGGAGGGAGAGGGCGGGTTGAAAGTGTTGCAAAAGCATGGGTTATTGTTCACTGAGATATTTCCTGGTTATTATAAAACCTACAATTTTTGTAAGCTGGTGTTTCCTGCCAAATTCCATATAAAACATTGGAAGGAAAGCTTAAGAAAGAAAAGATTTGAAAGAGCGAGTCCCACATTATCAAAGCTAAGTATAACTGATCTGTTTATCTTCTCTCTTAAAGAGCATCTTTCTAAGGGCATCTCTGTCTCAACTATGTTTCACAAAGCCAAAAACCGTAACTTTGCCATTTCCCAAGCAAGAACCTCTTAGAAGTCCTCAGAACTAGAGGCAGAGGAAGTCTCAGCCCTGGTCCCGGTGGTTTTGCTGACTGACTGGGCACGCCTCACCATAAAACATGGAAGACAGTCAAGTGCTTTGAGATTCTTGGAAGAGGGCAACAGTCTGCCCCTCACCTTTTTTAATCTTTGGGGAAAGATGTAGTGCCTTTCCCCACCATTCCGCCTCCTACTCAGCAGAACTCCCATCTTTCCTGAAGTAACAGCATCTGGTCTTCTCCATCTGGAATTTTTTTGCGCTATCTAGGTTAGCCAACACATAGCCTAATGCTTAAAATATATACTCATTATCTTGAAAACCTAATCAATTCCAAAGTGTATTTTGGTTTTCCCTGTTGCCCCTTCCTAAAATACGAGTTCAGGACAACAGTATTTTTCTTTACACATTTGGTTGTGACCTTTTTTTCCCCAAAGAAAATAACCAAAGCGCTTGTTTGGAAAAGCCGTATTGAGGCCTACCTACTCTCTTCCCTCCTGGCCCCTGGTGGTACACTGGGTCATACTCCAGATTAGCCAAGTTTGCTTCCCTTGTACTCCACTCAAATTGAGAGCTCAAATGGTGTTGATGAGGAATAAGCTTCAGGATCCTGGAGAGGCCCTAAGGGGTTTCTGTATGTGGGGATCCGTGTGTGTGACCAGAGTCCTCTTCTGTGGTGCATCTTCCTTGAGACGAAAACCCTGGCTGAGAA